CCTCGGTCCCCGCCCTCGGTCCCCGACCCCGCCCCGCCCTCCGTCTCCGCCCCGGGTGCTGCCGAGGGCTCCCGCTAGATGGCGCCACCGCCTCGCGGGCGTGCGTTCTGGCGCGGACCCCGCACTAGCGCGCGGGCCCACCGCTCCGCGGGCAGCAGGGCGCCTCCTCGGAGAGTCCCTTACCCGGTCCCTGCCCCCAGCACCCCGCCCCCGGGAAGGCGCGTCAGACGAGGACACGCCGCGCCCTCCTCCGGGAGGTACGCGAGGGACACGCAAGCACCTACAGCGAGCGCCCGGCACGAACGCGCGGGCAGGGGCGCAGAGAGCGCCGGGGGCCCGGAGCCGGTCTAGCTCGGCGACCTTCCGGAAACGGCGAGACTGTGGGGGCAGAGAATGAGCGGTGGTCTCTTGGGGAGACAGGGAGGGCTGAAGAGCGAGAGGAGGAAGGGTTTTAGGGCAGAGAAACTGCTCTGGACCGTGTTACAGCGGTGGGCACGGGTCATCGCGCGGCCCATAGCGCGCACATCAGTGACCCCGATGGGAACCGCGGGCTCTGTGGGATGCTGGCCTGTCACTGCAGGCCCACAGATTGTAACAAATATCCTGCTTGGGAGCAAGATTTTGATAGTGAGGGCCAAGGGAGGGGAGGTATATGGGAACTCTCTGTCCCTTCTGCTTAATTTTGCTGTGAACCTAAAACTGCTCTAAAAAAATAAAAACTATTTTTTTTAGAAAAGTAATTCAAGGTGAGGAGGAAAAAAACTCTGAGAAACGGGTCAAGGGAATATAAAGTGGGTTCTGGCTTAATGAAAACTGTAGGGTGAAGGCCAAGCTTTGTCTTTCTGTTAAACCAGCTTCTACCAAGCAGCTTTGACTTTGCAACACATGCAACAGGACTCTGGGGTTTAAGCCAGTGGGGGCCACTCTGTGGCCCACTGCACCCCCACAGTCACTACCCAACCACAGTCATGTGTGTCCAAGGCTCCCAGACCACCAGCCGCCTCAGGTCCAGTATTCAGCCCAATGTCACAGCTCACCCGGTGAGGCGCTGACCTCCTGACTTTTTCTTTTTCTTTTTTTTTTGGTGTGGTAAAAGACACATAGCATTAACTTTACCATCTTAACCCGTTTTAAGTGCTTAGCTCAGTAATAAGTACACTGACACTGTTATGTAGCCGTCACCACCAGCCATCCTGATAACCCTTTGCATCTTGTAAAACTGAAACTCCATCCCCACTAAACACTAACTGCCCACCCCCCACCCCAGCCCCTGGCCCCCCACTTTCTGTCTCTCTGCAAATCTATTGTGAATACCTCACGTAAGCAGAAGTATATAGTATGTGTTCTTTTGTGATGAGCTGATTTCATTTTCATTTAGCGTAATGTCTTCAGAGTTCACCCTTGTTGTATTACGTGTCAGAATTTCTTCCCTTTTTAAGGCTGAGTAATATCCCATTGCATGAATGGACCTCCCTTTGCTATCCATTCATCTGTGGACAGACACTTGGGTCGTTTCCCCATCTTCGCTAATGTGAAACCAGCTAACCTCTTGACTAACCCAGGTGACTCGGCCCTGTAGCTAGACTCATCCAATGATGCCCTCACTCGCCACGACTGTCCCCATGAGGACCCAGAGTACCGGCCCCACTGGACCCATCGATGGCTCCTCCACCCAGACTCCCTTTCGTGCACCCACGCGCCCCGCCACTTGTCCTCCGAGGGGGCCCCAACCTCTGCAGACACCCTCGCCTGTTTCTGGACTCTGGCTGTCTGCTCTCAGACCTCTGCTCTCCTAACGCCACCCCCCAGCTTCACTGCCTTCTTGGGGGGGCCCTGCATACCATGAACCTCCCCAGAGGGCTGACTGCTGGGTGTGTCGAGGCGCCCCTGGCCTTGTCATAGCCTCTCTGCAGCCTTAAGGGAACCTTGGCCTCCACACGGCTCTTACCGTCTGTGGCCACCTCAAACCATCTTCCCAGCAGCTACTAACTCGATCAATTTAAGCTCAAAGCAGACACACAGACAAACAGACAAAATGGTCAGACCCTGAAATCAAAAGAAGCAGACACCAGAAATCGAGTCCTCAAAAAAGATCAAATTCTTCCTGTGCTCCCAACAGATGAGGCCCTGGCGCACAGGCCCCGGGGGCTCCCTGGGGCTAGGGTGAGCTCTCGGGCACCAGCCGGAGGAGTGACCAGGACCCAAAGACAAGGGTCGGGGCTGCAGGACCGCACGGAGTGATGCACCAGTCAGCGGATGGTTTTATTCCCGCGATGGCGGCAGGAGCAACATTTGCTAACAAGAGATGTTGACCAGGGAAGGTAGCAGCTGGGGTTTTCTAGAGCCGGGTGATCGAGCGAGTTGTGAGAACGGATGAGGGAGTCTGGCACGTGCCAGGACAACTTGGCCTTTCAGGATCGGGCTCTGGGCTCACAGTGGGGTGCGACCTCCAACACAGATAAATTCAGCAGCGTCGTCCCGTGTCCCCCTCCTGGTCTGTAGTGGACTGAGCGCTGTGGGTCCTCCTGGGAGCCTGCGGGGTGTGTGTGTGTGTGTGTGTGTGTGTGCACGCACGCGTGTTGCAGAGTCTGTGTCTCTCCCAGGTCTTCTCTGAGCTGGGGGCTGTGTTGTGCCACACGTCTGTGCTGTCTCCGTGTCCCGCACCTGGTGGTACCGTGTGCGTTGCTGAGCCTTCTCGGTTCCAGGTGAGTTTTGCTGAGAGAGTGTGCTTCCTCATACACGCGTGTTTGCTTCAGTGTGTGCGTCTCCCCCCATGTTTCCCCCAGTTCTCCTGGTGTGCGTGTGCAGTGCGACAGGGCTTCGGCCTCAGCGTTTCTGTTTGTGTTGGCAGGGCTGCCTGTTTCCGCCCCGGGGCGGGGGTGGGGGTACTGGTGGCCTCTCTCCGTCTCTCTGCTGGTCTGGCTGTAGCTGCAGGTATGTTTCAGTGTGTGTGTCTGTGCACGTGTGTGCACGCGTGTGTGCATGTAGCTCGGCCTCTGTGTGGCGTGTGCTCCGGCTCAGGCCTTCTCCAGTCCCACATTCCTCCCGCTCCTTTGTGCTCTGTGCTACAAAAAATATTTGCATTTTCCACGACTCATAATTTTTCCTCCTCAATCGCTACCAGATGTGAATCCTGTGGTCCCCGTCCCCATGGCAACAGAGGTTCCAGCAGCCGCGGTTCCCTTTTGTGGCGCCTGCCCTGGGAGCTGGCGCTGCTGCAGGGCCATGGGGGGGAGTGGGTGTTGGGCCGGGGTGGGGTTCGGCAGCTCCCTCACCAGGCTGCTACCTAGACCGTCCGGGGGTGCTTCCTGGCTGGGTGCCCCAGGCCACAGCGTCTGACCTCCAGGGTGCCGGTGGCAGGGTTGCTGCAGGAAGTGCCAGAGGGGCCCCTGCTCTGTGGGGCGCTGACACAGAGGGGCTCCTGAAGTTCAGGGTCTCCGATGCTCAGAGGCTCCGGGGCAGGGGGCGGAGGGACCCGGGGGAGGCCTGCTGGACGTGAGATATGGGGCCCGAGCCCTCCGGGCGCCCCAACCGTGCTGATCCAGGCCGGGGAGTGGTTTGCCCGCGGGAGCAGGGGTTGGGGGGTCGGGGAGCAACAGGGTGGGCACGGCGAGTGGGGGCGCCCAGCCACTGCCGCATGACCCACCGCCTGCCCTCCACGCCCTCCTCGGTCCGTGCCCTGCCCTCGCTGGGCCTCTGCCCCTCCTGGCCGACGTTAAGGCTGTGTTCTCCGCCTGGCAGCCAGCACGGCCTGGTGCCGGAAGGAAGGGATGAGGCTGTGGCCAGGCGCAGGGCCACGGCTGGGAGGGTGCCCGGCTGGCTCTAGGGAAGCTGCGTGCCCAGGGAGCGGGAGCCCGCCTTCCACGTGCGGCCCGACCAGGCCAGAGGCGGGGACCACGGCCACGGGAGCCACGCCAGATGTCCACCCGTGCCATGAGGCGTCTCCGCTCAGCTGGCTCGGCCCCTGCATGGGTCACCGACGTGGACCTCCAGGTGGCATCCGGCCAGAGGACCGGAGACTCACCAGGTGAGACCCCTGAGCTGCCAGCACTGGTCACACTCCGGTCGTTCCAGGGTCCACAGGGAGGGCGTGGGGAGGTGATGGGAGCGTCTTGGCTGAATCTCCTGACAGAAAGAGCTGGCAGCAGGGTTGGGGGCGGTGAGGAAGAGGCCCACCAGGCAGAGGCGGGCAATGGAGGAGTCCAGGTGGGTGGGGACAGCGCACACCACAGAGAGGTGAGGTTATGGAGCTGGGGAAGGTCACTTGTGAGGCCCTCCTGAGGGCCACAAGCCCTGAAGACACAGAATAAGGGATGCAGAAAGAAGGCGAGGCCAGAGAGGGGCCAGCTGGGGCTCAGGGCCAGGCATGCTCCCCCCTCCCCCAGCTCCCGCAGCCAGCAGGGTGGGCGGCCGAGCGTTTCCGGCTGAGGACAGGGAGCCCATTGAGACGGACAGCAGGGCTCTGTGCACGGCCAGACGGTCCTGTTTGTGCCAGACGTGGCCCAGCTAGAGGCTGTGCCCCTGGCCTGCCCCAGCCCCTGACCTGCCCCAGACACACCAAAGGGCTTGGGGCCCCGAGTGTCACAGCGGTGGCCGGTGGGGAAGGCGCAGGGCAGGAGTCGCCGCGCACGGGCTCCTTCCTTGTAACCACCCTATCTGTTCCTGCCCACCCCGGCATCACCAGCTGCCAGTGGAGGGGGGGGTGGGCTGAGTGGATGCCCAACACATTGGATAAAAAGCTGAAGGCTGGGCAGACGGACAGGATCCACTTCCCACGTGGTCCTGGGGGACCCACCTGGGCTCCCAGATGCCACTTGGGTCAAGGGGTGCCAGGTTTCTTGGGGTGACGTCCTTGTCAGAGGCCCAGCAGAGAGGAAGCGGGCAGACCATGGTGTTGGGGGGGGAGGCACTTTATTCAGAAAGCTTTGGCCAAGCCCCTGCTGAGAGGAGCCCATNCAGAGGCCCAGCAGAGAGGAAGCGGGCAGACCATGGTGTTGGGGGGGGAGGCACTTTATTCAGAAAGCTTTGGCCAAGCCCCTGCTGAGAGGAGCCCATCCTGGGGCCCCCCAGGGGTGGGGGGGGGGTGGGAGTAGCCCTGCCGGGGGCCTATAAATACATCTCCTCAGGCCACTGGAGTTGCCCCTCAGATTCCCAGGCATGTGGGGTGCTGGGAGGCCATCAAAACCAGCTCGACAGCAGAGGGGGCTGGGGAGGCTGGGGAGGACTGGTTGGGGGACAGCCAAGCCCCCTGAGGAGCAGAGACCAGCCCTCCTCCTGTCAACCAGAGGCCCTGGGGCTCGGCCAGTGGAAGGAGCCTCTGGCCAGGGTCGCCGGGAGGGAGCCTCCAGCCAGAGGCGCCAGGCCCTGACCGGAGAGGCATCCCGGGTGGAAGTGCTTCTGGCCCCAGCCAGTGAGAAGGTGGCCCAGACGAGGCACTCTGGCCAGTGGGAGGTGTTCTCTAGACAGAGCCCTCCTGCCCCTGGCCTTGGAGAGCCCAGCGGGCAGACGGGAGCCCTCCCCAGGGAGGCTGTGGGAAAGGAGGGGTCAGCAAAGCGCCTGTCAGGCCTCAGCCACCAGGATGGGGCTTCCTGCCGCAGCATGCACGGGTCCGTCCAGGAGGGCCTCAGGGCCCGAACCAGCGAGACGCAGCGTCCCGCCCGGGAGAGGAGGGCGCGCAGGGCGCGGGGCGCCAAGCAGTGCTGCTAAGCGGGGAAGTTGCAGGCCCACGGGCCGCCCTTACTACAGCGTGGGCGCGCCCGCCCGGCCCGGCTCGCCCGCCAGCTCCCGGCTCTTCTTGCGGGGCGGCTTCTGAATGGGGGTTTTCTTTCGAGGGGTGTCGGATCCAGGCGTGCCGGCTGCCGCCTTTTCGGGCCCCGGGGCCTCAGGCGCAGGGGGCGAACGGGCCGGTGAGGAGGGAGGCACGGAGCGCTTGGCCTTCTGCGGAGGCGCCGGCTTCTCTCGGGGACCCTGCATGCCCGGGGGCCCCTCGGCACGGCCCAGGCTGCGAGTCTTGTCGCGCAGCTCGGCGGCCAGCATGGAGGCGGCCTCGGGAGCGCTGCGCGGGGGCCCGCCAGCGTCCTCTTGCTGGGGCTGGGGGCGGCCCCGGGGCCCGCGGGTGGAGGCGAGGGCGCACGGGCGGCTGCAGCGGCCCCGGCACCGTGCTTGCCATGGATCCAGGACACCTTGGGTTTGGTGGCAGGGTCGGGTGGTGGCGGCTTCCGGCGCTCGGGCGATGGCGAAAGCGACAGACCTCGGGCCTCGTCTTGGACCCGGGCCGGCCGGGCCTCGCGCCGGGCCACGCGCGCATAAAGCGCCCCTCCGGGCCCGTCACCGCTGCATGCGGACCGCTCGCTGTCGGAGGACGCGGGAAGGGGCGCCGCCTCCTCCGCGGGCGTGGTCACTGGCGACGCGGCGGGGACGTCCGAATCCCGGCTCTCGGCGGCCGCCTCTGACCAGGGAAGAGCGGGACGGTTACCGCCCGCAGGAAAAGCTCGGCCTTCCAGCCTACAGGCACAAGCCCCCGCCGGCGCCCCCTCCTGTCCTCTTCCCGTCCCCACTGGCGCTCAGGCGTCCTGGCATCCAAACAGGCCTGGTTTGCTCCCCGCGCTGACCGCTGACTTGGAGCCCCCAGGCAGGATGAGAGGCTCCTTCCTGGGCCGCAGCCCCACCTCGGCCCCCCGCACCCCTCCCCCACCGCCACCATCGCCATCTCTGACTCTCGAGTCCTTATCCTTCTTTAAGAGCAAGGCCTTCCAAGGCTCAGGGTCACCTGCTCAGGGTCATTCACGGGGATAGAAGCAGGAGAAGGGCCAGAAGTCCAGCGAGTGAGGTTGCTTCCTGACGTCTGTGAGCCAAGGCTTCCTGAGAAAGTGTGCCTCCAGACCTCAAAGACTCCCTTTCCTGTCTCCTCTTGCCAGCCCCTCCCCCAGCCCAGAAACTTCTCTCTGCCTGGTCTCCCCAGATGTGAACCTGGCTGTGGCTACCTCCCCAGACAACCAGCCCAGTCTGGTGCTGGGCAGCACAGAAGCCTGACCTGCAGCCTCAGCTGTGTGCCCACCCCGCCAGCTGACAGCATCACCAGCCCTTCCTCCCTGTCCCTCTGAGCACAGAGGTCTTTTCAGCAAGAATCCTTCACTGGGTCAGAGTGAGAAGGGTCCTCACCCCAAGCAGAGGCCAACTCACCCTCGTGGGGTACGCAGTACACGGGGCCTTCATCTGTGGTATCGAAGGAGGAGAAGGAGGCCCGGGAAGACCACGATGGTGAGGGCTGCTCGAGGCCCGAGGGCGGGTCCAGGAAGCTGCAGTTGAGTGTGTTGTCCAGGTCGTGATGGGCCACTGGGGGGACGGGGGCACAGCTGCCGGGGGCCCTCCTTGCCCAGCCAGGGCCCTCACCAGCCCTCCTGCCACAGTGAGGTAGGGACCTAGCGAGCTGTACCCTAAGACTCTGAGGAGGACAGGCCTCTCCCAGCAGCCAGGAGCTGACCGAGGTCAGGCTGAAAGTTGTGAAAACAGGGACCACCTAGCTGGGAGACGGCATCAGGCCCTCCAGGCCATGCTTCAGACCCTGCCCCGAGCAGTTTCTGAGAGCAAACGTGCAGTGGGGAGGCCACCTTTTGGCTCAGCCCACCTCAGCAGGCTGCCACCCCCAGGCACAGCCTCGACAGATGTAGACCCTGCCAACAGGGAATCACAGAGCCTGCCAGCCTGTCCCCCTCGCATAAACAGGAGGCGGGCTCCGGCCCCTACACCCGTGTCCACAGACCCCACCAAGCTGAGCGGGCCCAGCGTGGCTTTTCTCCGCGGTCTCCACCGTTACCTCCCAGACTTCATCACCTTGTCCCCTTCATCTTTGGAAACAAGTGGGAAAGACACAGAGCGTGCACCCCGGTGTGAACCAGTGCAGAGAGAGGAGAGGAAACGGCACGCCCTGCAGCCCGCAGCTGACCCATCCTGACATCGCGGTGGGGGCCAGCCTGCCCCCTTTCCAGGGAAGACCCTGAGCACTGCCAGAAATCTGGGCCGGGGGCAGGGGCTTCTTGCGGCAGGGCATTCCCACGCACAGGTCCCACGTCCACCTGCGGCTCCGCACCAGGACAGACGGTGCGTTCACTCCTGAAGACTGCGGGGCGACGGGACGTCCAGGCCACCCCCCTGCCTTCCTCCCGGGCTCCCCCGTATCCGCAAGCCCTCTTTCCTCGCCCTGGGCGCACCCCTCCTCGACCCTCCCATGGACAATCAAGGCCCCGCCGTCCCTATACTGACCCGGTCACGGCCACTTCCCGGCAGCCGCCTGCGTCCGAGGTGTTCCCAGTTCATCCTTACCTACGACCTTGGGCAGCTTCTGCCTGCGGAGCGGGATCCGGGGAAGCTTCATGCTGATACGACTGAAGCGTCCGCACAGGCGCTGCGGCGCCTTCTTCCTCCCCAGCGAGAGCTCCCTGCGGGGTCGGGGCCTGAGCGAAGGGGACTGGGCCTTGCCTTGGGGGCGGGGCAAGTCAGCCGGCGCCCACCCACGGACGGCCGGGAGGTGCCTACAGTGGACGCGGCCCCTCGGGGCGGGGCCTGAGCTAACAGGGGCCGGGGCCTACAGTGTACTGGGCCCCTCGGGGCGGGGCCTGAACTAACGGGGGCGGTGCCACCCGGGGACGGGGCGGGGCCGGGAAGGGAGCACCTCGCCGCAGACCCCGCGCGACGCGCGCCGGGCTAGGGCTGGGCGGCGAAGCCTCACCCGCGCGCTGGGTCCTTGCCGCGGCAGGCGCAGCAGCAGCCGAGCAGCGAGAGTAGCAGGCCGAGGAGCAGGGCGAGCAGCGCCCCCGCGCCCATCACGCCCTTACGCTGGTTGGTCTCTGTGGGGAGCGCCCGATCAGAGCGGGGGCCAGCGACCCCCGCGCCCCCGCCCGGCGGCCCCTACCCACTCACCCAGGCGGCAGGCACCGGTGACCGGGTCGCACGAGTCCTCGTGGCAGCTGCAGGCCTGGGCGCAGTCCACGCCGTGGAGCCCGGGCGGGCATGTCAGGTTACAGCTGCGGGAGCGCGAGGTCAGGGAGGCGGGCGGGGTCTGGGGGCGCCGCCGAGCTGCCCTCCGAGACGCCTCCCGCGCTCGACCCCGCGGCCGGCCAGCCCCGCGTTCCCTGGCTCCACTCTCTAGGGACTGCGGCCACCCCCACCTAAAGCACGTCCTGGGCGATCAGTGTTTCGGAAACGAATGGGTGCACTCCAGCGCCGGGGAGTCTGGGGGACCGGCCAAGATCACTGGCCGCGGTGCCCACTTCGGGGCTGACTCTCGATGTGCAGGGAATAGGCTGCCGGACCAGACCCGTGGGTCTACGTGGAGGTCCCTGCGCACTTCATATCATCAGCTCAGGGGAGCCCACTGACCACAGGCTGACCTGGCCGCCGGATCCGGCTCGAACGCCAGCTCCACGCCAGGGCAGGAAACTGCCCTCCAAGAGCCCCTGGTCGCTCCCTAGCTGGCTGAGGGCCAAGCCTGGGTCCCGCCTGGTCACCAGTACAGCAGCCTCTGGGGTCTGGCTGGAGCCCTGTGCCAGATGCTGACCCGGACCTCTCGGCCCCGAGCACTCACTGGGGCCCGTGGACGCCCGGGCCGCAGAGGCATCGTCCGGACCGGAAGTCGCAGTGGCCGCTCCCGCAGTCGGCGCACACGAACGCGCAGTCCTCGCCGTACGTGCCATTGCTGCACCTGGTCTCACACCTCGGGACGGGGGGAGGGGGCGTCAGTGGGAACAGGGCCCACGGAGTCCAGTGCGGGGGGCAGCCGGGGCAGGGCGGCGGGGGCTGCGTGCCCGGGGCGCACGCGCGGCGCTCACCGGTCGCCGATCCAGCCCGCGTTGCAGCGCGTGCACTTGCCGGTCACGTGGTTGCAGGCGTGCCCGTCGCGACACGGCGGGCACCGGCGGCCGCAGCCCTCGCCGTAGAAGCCGGCGGCGCACGGCTGGTCGCATTTGGTGCCGTTCCAGCCGGGCTCGCACGTCAGGCAGCGGCCCTCGGCCACGGTGCACGGCTGCTGGCCCTTGCACTGGCCGCATCTGGGGAAGGGGCGGGAGGCTAGGCGGGGCCCGGGCCCCTCGGCGGCCGGTCCGTCCCTCCCCTCCCCGGGCGGGGCCCGCGCTTACCGGCGGCGGCAGCCCAGGCCGTAGAAGCCGGCGGGGCACGGCTCCCGGCAGTACTTGCCCCTGTAGCCGGGCTCGCACGCGCACGTGCCGTCCACCGGGTGGCAGCGGCCGCGGAAGCACTGGCAATAGCGCTCGCAGCGCGCGCCGAACGTGCGCTCCCGGCACTGGCAGCGGCCGCTCTGCTGCTCGCACGGCGACGCGCTGCAGGCGCACTGGTTGTTGCAGCTGCGGCCCCACCAGCCCGCGTGGCACAGGCAGGCGCCCGTCTGCGGGTCGCAGCGCGACGTGGCGCTGCAGTAGCACGCGCTGGCGCACTGCGGGCCCCACCAGCCGGGCTCGCAGCGACACGCGCCGCTCCGCGGGTGGCACGCGCCGTGCTGGCACTGGCACGCATGCTCGCAGCGTGCGCCCCAGCGCCGCGCGTGACAAGTACACTGGCCCGTCACGTCCTCGCACTGCCCGTGCGGGTGGCAGACGCACAGCTCCTTGCAGTCGGGACCCCAGAACTGGCGCGGGCACTCTGCAGGAGGAGTGGAGACGGGGCGGGCTGCCCAGGCGCTGGCGAGAGAGCCTGCTCGCTTCCCATCCGGCGCCCCGCCCCGAACCTGTCGCCCCGCGCCCGCTGGGATCCGCGCTCACTGGTGTCGCAGTTGGCCCCGAAGTAACCGTGGCGGCAGCGGCATTCGCCGGGTCGCACGCACACCTCGTTCTCCGAGCACGTGGAGTTGCCTTCGCACACAGCTGCGGACGAGACGGGCCGAGGTGTCCCTAGTCCAGCCGCCGCACTTGTCTCCTGCTCTCCGCGCCCCACCCCCACCCCGGGCGCGATCCCAGGTGACCCACTCACCGATCCCACACTCGTCCCCCTGCTGCCTCCAGCCGGCGCAGCACGTGAGCTCCTGAGAACTGCAGGCAGAGAGACTGGCGCCTGAGTCTGAGCCCCTTGCGCTGGGAACCGCCTCCCCCAGCCCCCAGCAATCCCCACCCTGCCCTCGGGAGGTGGTTATCGGAGGCGCTGCTATAGGAGTAAGTCACAAGTTTCAGCCATCCAGAGCGAACCCTGGGAGGTGGCAGAGAACAGACCACTTCCAAAAAATTCACAGTTCCCTCTACTTGGGGGTCTTGCCTCTCCTGATCTGTGCCCTCTTCCCCCATCCACTAGGCCTGAGAAGAGACCCCAGGCGTCGGAGGAGGGGCAGTGGTGAGGTGGGGGTGGAGCAAAGGTCTCTGAGCCTCCAGGACCAGCTCCAGTGAGGCAGGCTAGGGCACCCCAGGATGTGGCAGAGTCTGGCCCGATGGGTGTCAAGGGCTCAGACCCAGACAGTGCCAGGACTGGCTGGGTCGGGCAGCACATCAGAATGCCCTGTTGGGGCTAAAACAGGCAGCCTCTGAGCGAGGTGGCCTCAGCAAGGGGCTTGCTCGGGGACGGGCAGGAGATGCCCAGGGAGTCTGTCCAGGTGAGGAAAGTGCAAGAGAGGGCTGCGGAGCACCAGGGCGAGGCTCGGGCTCAAGGAAGGCCACGCTGGGACGCCCTCTCTGCAGCTTCATGAAACCTCAATTTTATTTGGCTTTCCAAGGTACAGTAGGAGGTAAGAACTCCCTAAGTGCGCATGTTGGGGTGAGGCAGCCTCCCGAGCCCTGGGCTGATGGGGTGGGCAGACACAGAGGTTTGGCGGCCCTGCCCAAGTGAAGCCATGGCCCCTGGTGAGGGTCATGAGTGCTGAGGTGGGGTGTGCCCACGCTGCGGGCAAAGGAGGTTGAGAAGGATCAGACACTCAGACTACAGGTCTTTGCGGTCTCAGATCCTAAAGGCACATGGCCTCCATCCAACCTCAGAGCACAGGAGGGAGGATGGGAACCCAGAACTGGCAAGTGTTGGTGGAGGAGGTGGGAGGGGCCTGATGGCCCTGGTGTGTAGGGTGTCAGGGAAAGGAAAGGCTGAGCCCCCCTTAGCAGGCCCCTCAGAAGATGCCCTCCATGTTCCCAGCTTGAGATGATCACTAAACCCTGGGTCACCCCCTGCCTCTTCTGCCAGCCTGAGCCCAGGACTCTGGATGGAGAGCCTCTGGAGCCGGTCCTTCAGCAGGCGACCCCACCAGAATGGCCTCCTGGGACGGCCTAGGAATACTGCCTGCCTTCTGCCCCAGATGGCCTGGCTGCCTGGCCCTGGCAGCTTGGGAGCCTTGCCTTAGGGCCACAGGACGGTGCATTGGATTTTTGGGTCTGCCACTTGCTGTGTGACCTTGGGCACAGAACTTAATCTGACTGCCAGCTGCTATATCTGTACAATGGGTCCCCATAGGTTTGGCAGGATTAAGAGAGTGAGATGTGTCCAGCTTTTGGCACTAAAAAAAAAAAAAAGTCACCCCCCCCCAAAAAAAAGAAGTCACCCAAGAAATTTCCTGGTAACTCAGCCAGTAAAGAATTTGCCTGCCATGCAGGAGACCCCGACTCAATTCCTGAGTCGGGAAGATCCCCTGAAGGAAGGCATGGCAACCCACTCTAGTACTCTTGCCTGGAGAATCCCATGGACAGAGGAGCCTGCCAGGCTGCAGTCGTGGGCTCGCAAAGAGTCGGAGACATGACTGAGTGGCTAAGCACAGCTCAAGAACTCACCCAAGGTTGCTGTGTGCGCTTCAGCCCCTGCTGAACAGGCCCCAGGAAGCTCCCCCAGCACGACTGGCACCCAGGCTCCACCCAATAGAGCTAAAAACCCCACCCGCTGGCGGGACAGAGCCTATGTAGACAATGAGCCTGTGGGACCCCTCCTCCTGAGACGGGCGGCAGGAAAGACTGGGATGGGCTGGCAGCCCGGTCTCCCAGATCTAATGAAAGTGAGAGGTCGAGAAAGAGGGCCGGGGACAGGGCAGCTCCGACACTCAGGCGGGACCCTGCGCATCAGTCCAGGCCCCACAGCAAGCAGGCGGTGCCCCCACGGAGCACGGTCACTGCAGCTGGAGCTGTGCTGGTTTAGACCCTGATCCTGAACCCGCCCAAGCGCACTGCCCACTTGCTGTGCCAGTATCTGCCCTCCCCTCTGCCCCCACACCCCCCGGGAGTCCACGGCAGCTGGGCTCTCCTGCGCCCCATGGGTACCCCCCCACTGCGCCCCCTCCCTCATGAGGCTCTCCAAGTCCCAGTGAGACAATGGCAGTGCCTTGGGGGCCTCCTCCCTGCAAGCCCCCACCCCGAGTGGACTCTGTCTCAGGATAAGGCCTGTCTTTCCAGGCTGAGAGGCTGGGACTCTGCGCCCTCCCAGATGATGCACAGAGAAACACCCAGCTCGACCTTCCCAAGTGGACCCAGGATGGACAGGCCACGTGTCCCCTGCCCCCCCACCCCGGCCACCTCATCCTGCCTGCTTCTCTCGCACCTCCTGCCCCGGGGTTTCTGGGGCCTCAGTCTTCTCGGGAGCGGGCAGAGCTCGGGTGGTCTCTCCTCCCCCATCCCCATCCCAGCCACCTGGGCCCCTTGCGCGCTTCCAACAGGCCCTCAGCAGGCAGGGCCTACCCCGACATCGCCAGGCTCTGCTCTGGGTTCCTCTCCCCAGCCTCTCTCACTCATCGCCTCCAGTTGGGTCTCCACGCTGAATACCTCCTCCCTAGCCCTTACCAGATGTCAGATGACTTGTGGAAAGTCTCCCCCTTACATACACACACACACACACACACACACACACAGACACACACACGACAGCCGTACCCTGGCACCGCCAGGCCCGCACACAGAAAGCCTCTGGGGTTTTACTGACAGAGCTGCTACCCGTGGTCCTCCTGCCTCCAGGCAGAGGGAACAGCTAGTGGAGCTTCGAAAGGCCCAGCCTTGGGAAGGTCATGGAAGAGATGGTCCAGACCCTGGGGAGGGAGGCGGGGCCCCCAGTGGCAGTGGTTCCTGTTAACCACCTCCATACAGAACCAGGATCATGCCCCCTCCCTCCCCTCCACGAGGCGGGTGCCACCCCCAACACCATTTGTCAGGAGCAGGGCCCAGCCCGGAGAGCTTAAGCGATGTGCCCGAGGCCACTCGGATGCGGAGGCCCCAGGATCTGAAACCCAGCCCAGGCTCCCGGCTACTGGAACAGGCGTCCGATGGGGAGGTCCGGGGCGGGGGAACGCGGCCGGCCGGCCATCGGCTACCCGGCAGGGACCCCCATAGGGAAGGAGGGCTGAGGCGAGGCACAGGCCGGCGGCGATCGCGCCCTCCCCCTTCCAGGCAGCCCCGCCCGCCGCCGCCGCCGCATTCCTGGGGCCGGGGAGGCCCGGGAGGCCCGGGAGGCGGCGGCGGCGTCGATGTGAAGCAGATGGCGGGCCAAGCCGGCCCCCGCCCCGGAGGCGGGGCTGACAGCGGGGAGGGGTCTGCGCGCCTCGGGATGCGAGCTCGGAAACCCCGCGCGGCCCCTCACAGCCCCCTTGTCTGCGGCGACCGCCCTGCCCCCGGACGCGGCCTCCCTGGGCCCTGCGGCCCCGGGCGCCCCGACTGCCTGCCGGGGGCCGGTGGCAGCCCCTCCAGCTGCCCG